ATTTGTTCCTGAAAAAAGAGTTTAACAGCCCTTCTGTCACACAGTAAATCTTCTATTTCAACAAGAACCAATTCCTTTAAAAAACAAGCTAAAAAGGAGCTATAAAATATTATTCATTATTAGTTTATTTATACCCTCTCAGCACATAGGAACCGTAAAATATTATCCATTATTATTTTAGTTATACTCTCTCAGCACATGACAATTTTGGCTACTTGAACTGTCATTTGGAAAGATTTTAAAAATATGTTTCAAGATATCATCTGTTTCTTACAGAGCTCCAAATTAAAGCCACCTTGAAATGCAGGCACCCATAAGCACATGAGACAACCACTGAGAAGTTCTCCACTGAAGACTGTATACCTTTCTCTGCTTCTCCCATATTTCCAGTTATGCAGTTCCACCTCCAGTGCTCATCAGACACTGCCCTATATACTGTAACTCACTGTAACAGCAGAAAACCAACAACCTTCTTCAGCAGGTTCAAAGAGCAGCTCGCACTTGCAGAGAATTAGAGGAGTCCAGTAAGCGCTGACAGTGGCAGGAACAAGAGTATGGTTGGGAGGAATAAAAAGGGTGGATAATAAATGGGAGAAGGTAATGATCTACCATGTCAGTTCACTGGACACCACGGTACCAGATCACACACTTCAGTATATTCACAGAGCCAATAAAAAGTAACAGTTTCAACATTATTGCAAAATCACTTCAACAGGCAGAGAACTTTGGTAACTTCTTCCCCTATTCACATTTTATTCTCTTATTTTTAAGGAAAACTTACAAGAGCAAAAGAAACAGAAAACTCAGGAGACCATTAAAATTAAACTATATCAACACTCAAAAAAAAAATTAAAATGCCAAATGACATTTTAAATATTTCTTCTTTCAGACATAAATGATTTTAAAACCACAGCAGTGCAATAAGAGAAGAGCATTCATTATATACATTTTAAGGAAAAAAAAAAAAAGAAGAAGCATTTGGACTACTTAATTAATTTATATTGAAACAAAAGACTGTTCTAAATAAGATGCATAAAACCCACAGCCGGTTTGTATTTTTTGAAGCTGATATTCCATTCCTGACTCTCAAATACCCATAAGATAACCTTAAAAATGCTTATGCCTAATTCTACACCTGTTCTACAGTATAGAAGAGAATATCCTGAAGCAGGCAGTTCACCCAGATTAATCAGAAAAATTATTTCTTAACTACCAAGGTTTTTTCTACAATGGTGAATTCTGAGGCTCCCCCAGTATCAGTAGAAAGAGGATAGACAGGGAAGTTGAACGGATCTCACTCTTCAAGTCAAAACTTTACCTGCAAGCTCACCAAGGCAAAGAACAGGCAGCTTCAACTTCTAAAACACTGTACAAAATGTGCTCAGTGCTCTGCAACTGCTACAACCCAAATTTTAGAGATGCATGAATTTTACATTTCTGTAATAAATACAGTCATGAGAACAGCTTCTAAGAGGTAAGTCCGAAAACTGTTTCCTTCAGAGCTACAAAACTAAACAGTGAAACAGACATCTACCTTCTCAAATGCTTCTAAATCCATACTCCTAAAAAGCAGGATGCATCTGAAAAACACTTCCCACATTTTATTATGAAAAGAAAGTGAGAGCAATGAACAAAACCATGGGAAGGAAAAGAGGTAAGAGCATGAAAATCAAAACTGAAGAAACCAACAAAAAATTGGTTACACTTTTGCTACCCATTCCAGACTAGTGGTGGGCTCTCACAGGAAGTAATGTAGCACAAGTACAGCAACATTCAAGTAACAGAAGTGATTATATCAGCATTTTGTGCTGTGAGAAATATAAAAAGGACTGAGTACAGAGACTGTGCTATATGACATGTACAAATGCAGTTGAAAAGAAGCGTGGTATGAACAGCAACGTGCTCCAAAGAAGGGGCAAAACTTTTGTGTGAACAGTGGTTACTGCTTGTGATTTTTGCTTGGATTTACAGAACTCAAAAAAAGCTACTATATCCCTTGATAAAAGTACTGTGAGAGTATGGATGCTTAAATATATCTAAGTATATCATTATAATCCTAGTGCAAAAAAAGTCTTTCTCTACCAAAACAAAACACACACACAAAAAAAAACCAAACAACTCCAAAAGAAAAAATGAAACAAATGAACAAAAGCAAAATCAACACCCCCCACCACACACACACAAATCCACATCATTTAATGTAAAGAAACGTACTAAGAGTTGCAATCAGCTCTGTGTCGGAACAGGCACCATGTATCACCCAAACAACATTACATTTTTAATCAGACAAGGGTACTTCATGTGACATTAACAGAAACACTTGATTTCAGTGATCTAAACTGAAGTTCAGTTTGTAAAAACATTTTTGAGGCTGAAAGCTTCTAGGAATGTTAAATATTACATTCAGCTGCAGAAAGGGGAAAATAACATTCCATAAACAAAAGCCAGAATTACTTACGTTTCAAAACAGCGATCCACGTTGTCTGACATCAGAAGCAGCATGCAGAGCTGTTCCAGTGCTATTAGCTGCATATCCCTTTCATCCCCCTGCCCCATCTGCAGCCATTCCAGCAACGTGTCTGGATCCACATCTGCCATGGTTTTGTATAAAAAAAAAAGCCGCTTCCACTTCAATTAAAAAGTACCAAAAATATCCTTTAATTGTAGAAGCCAGACTAACTTCAGCACAATTAATTTCTCTCTTCAGTCAGCCTCACGCTTTTGCAGTTTTTACCTGGCAAGTACAAAAAGTAATCATCATCACAACCTTGTCATTGAACTCTCTGTATTTGCTCCTCTCTAAAATGTATATCATATATTTGGAAGAAAATTAAGGAAATTTTCACATATCTTATCAGCAAATGCATTTTTTTTCAAGCTTTATAAGCAAGTAAATAGTAAAGAGTTTGTTCTGTTTTGAGGATCATGCAAAATTAAAGCTAAAAAAATTGTGCTTAACCCTTTTGTGTATTCTTAAAGCTACGAGAAAGAAAGTGGTGCCTTGCTCATCCCCCTCCTTTAATAACACTTTATTATAAAGTTTTCAGTTTTATGAGAGATGGATTATCTCCTCATGAAAATATTCAAATATAGAAAGATAATGAACTTCACATTTTAAACAGAAATCCATAAAATAAAAAACTGAGATGTATAACAACAGACTTTTAGAATCTTTGGAAACCTTTTAAAGGTTCAAATATTTCATTTTTTAAAACAGCATTCAAACATAAGGAAAACAGGCTTTTTATGTCAAAGCATAAAAAAAAAGACAACGTAAAAAACACTTCCATTTTCAAGAGTTAGCAGTTTGTTGGGTTATTTGGGGACTTTTTGGAAACAAATATTTAATTAATAGCTTTCCAAAAAAATCCAGTGAATAATTCAAATAATTCACATACATATAAGGAAAACAACATTATTTGTTGGCCCAATGCCATAGTTGTACATGCAAGCTGAAGACCAAAAAAGTCCCCTTACCTAAACTTTGTGTTTAACAAACTGTCAAATTCACCTCCCCTGCCTAAAAACACAGCAAATGCGTCTATTTTCATATAAAACCTAATGGGTTACAAACCAATCTCTCCAAATTAGACATCCAAGAAAAATAATACCCTTTCAAAACACAGCTTAGAGAAGAAGAACTACTTTATCAAACTCATAGGTAAATATGAAATGCTGGGCACTGGACAGTGTCCCCACAAACAGGGGGGAGGTGATGTGGGAGGAAGAAGCTTGATCTGTACAAAGTCTGCCTACTTGTTTACTTGCTGCTAATGAGTTAATAGTTAAAAAATAACCCTATCAAGGGCATGTCTACAAAAGGGAATCAGAAATTAGTATTATATGAAGAAACACACACTGAATCAGCTCTTTCACAAAAGCTTCAAACTCAAAATGTTACAGAAATACAACAGATAGGATCTTATACAATTTAGGGCCATAATATTACAGATCACTCTACTACTGCTTACCAGTTATATATTTGATATTATCTTACCTTAAAAAGTAATTTAATATTAATAAACTGATTTTCTGTGTTTCAAACACTGCCTATGACTCTCCAAGATGTTTACAGACTGCATTTCCTGCTCTAATCCTACATAAAACTACTTTCAAACAGTAAAAGTGGAATCACATTATATGTATTCTACCTCTCCTTAACACGACTAAATCGTTATTTCCGGGAGCGGAGAAATGAGTGATAGCGAGAGAAACAAGAAAATTAAGAGCCAGCGAAAGTGGGGTAAGTTCACCACAGGCACCTGCTGTTCTCGTACCCCAGACGGGCGGTGCAGGAGCACCGCGCGGAACACGGAGCGAGGCGAGCGGCCGGAGCCGCCGGAGCAGGAGCAGGGCCCGGGCCCGGCCCGGCTCGTCCCGCCCGCCCGGGCCTGCTCGCACGCTCCAGGCGGGCCCGGGGCCGCGCGCCGCTCTGGGCCCCTTCCCCACACGGCGCCGCCCGGGGCAGGGGAGGCGCCGCCTCCACCTCCCCGCCGCCCCCGCACGGGGCACCCGGTGGCGTGAGGGGCTCCCCGGCAGCGCCGCCCCGTTCTGTCCCCGGCCCCTCGCACAGACTTCCCGGCACCCGCCGCCTCCCCCCGGCCGCAGCTCCGGCCCGCTTCCTCCCGGCCCGACAGGCCCGGGCAGCGACGCTCGAGTTCCCGGCGAGCCGCAGGCCGCGCAGGGTGACCCGGCCTGGCTGCTCAGGAAAGGCGCCGTCTCCCAGCGCGGGCCGCGGAGGCCCCGCACCCCCCCCACCCCCACCTCCACCCCCCCGCCGCTCACCTCAGCCTCCCGCAGCCTCCTCGCCGGAGCCGAGCCCTCCTCAGCGCCACGCCGAGAGCGGAGCGGCGGCGCGGCGGCGGCAGCCCGAGCCCCGCGGCAGGCGGCGACCAGCGGCATCCATGGCGCTCCGCCCGCTGCGGGGTGGGCGGGCGCGGCAGGAGCCACGCTCGGGGCGGAGCTGAGGCGGCCGAGCGGCCGCTGGGGGCGCTGCGGGAGCCTCCGCGGAGAAGGGGCCGCTCCCGCGGGCGCGCTCCGCCCCGCGCCGCCGCTGCGGAGCTCCGAACGAGGGCCCGCGGAGCCCCGCGCGGCCTTCCCGGCAACGGGCCCTGCCCGCCTCGGCTGGCCTTCCCTTGGCTGCGTGGGTTTTATTTTGGTTTTTTAATAGTTTACAGGTCATTTTATTTCTTGCCATATTCTGGTTATTTACGTCAATATAATATTCTTTACCTTTACGGCAGAGCTTATACTTTTCAGGGGCCACTCTCAAAAACACTTTGATCCCCCTCCAGCACCTCCATTGAAAGGGATCTGGTGAGCGGATTTGGGCGTCGCAGTGCTGCATCCTAAGAGACCGAAGGTTTTAGTTTGCTCTTACCGAGCAGTGAGTTTGAAGTGCTGCAACTGCATCGTGTGGCTTGAAACACCTTTTGCAGTAGAGTGGTCCACTGCCATACGTGCTGCAAAATGCTGTACAACTACTTTTGCACATGATTAAAAGACGAAGGAAGTAAACTGCTAAAAATTTAAAATGAGGGATTTTCAAAATAGTTTCATTCTCTGTAGTGTGACGTGTTTTGCAAAGGAATTTAAGCCTATTAATATAAGTACAGTAAATAAGATTATTGTACGTTTGAATGTCATTCCTACCTACATCATAGACATTTCCTGTAATTAGAAAGCTAAAACTACACACTGAACAAAAAGGCAATAGCAGTCATGCTCAGTTAAAACTTGCCGAATGCCGACATTTTTATTGGTCAATGTTGTAATAGCACGCCTAGAAAGTGTTATTTTTATTGGCACAGGTTTTATTCAGAACACAAGAACAGTAGTTCTTTTGTCTCTGTTTCTGATCTCTAGGGCAGCTTAGCCTTTCTGTCTTACCATATTACATTTCTGTTAACTGCAACTTGTTCCAGCTCAGCCGAGACTTACATACGCATCCTTTGCCTGTGCTTGTCCTTCAGAGGTCAGGAAGACTTATGATATGCTTAAAGTTAAGGACACAAGGTAGTAGAAGGACTGAGTCTACATTCTTCCAATTTAGAAACTTGGTCTTCTTTAACTTTTCACCAGTGCAGAAGCAGCAGAATTAGGGCAGTGTTCTGAGACCTGTATCTGTTAAGTGACCTTGCTCCTGTTGCATGATGCTAGAACGGTTGCCTTTGCTTTTTTCATGAAGAAAAGTTTCAGATAAAGAAATATTATTTTCTTCTGAAGACCAAAATTGTTGAAATCAAATAAATATTTCATTCTTTTCACATGGAATGCAGTTTCTGGTTCAGGTGTCTGGCAAGATATATAGTTATTTGTGGACAATATGAAGTTATAGAAATACAGATAAATTTAGAACAAAATCAAAATTTTAAATATTGTACTTAAATATGAATAATGGATTTAAAGTACTATTAAGCAGGCATACAAAACTTAAATGCTGGAAATATCTTTCAGATACATAGTTATTTCTAAAAGGAAAAATATAAATACTTCTATGCCATGTTGCATGAATTGCCCAATTTCGTATATCGTTTTTTTTTTTTACTCAAAGAAGTACATTGAATAATGTATTACAGCTTCAACCAGGAATCAGGATCTTTTTTTATTCTGATACAATATTTAAAAGTTTGCTAGTGATTTTTGTTCCTTGTTATGCGATTTCTTCCCACCAGAACAAATCTGAAAAATAATGCTGACTAGATAATTTCTCCTTCATTGATTATATACTTCTTACAGTATATGTATATTCATTGACTGATTAATACTTTTTTTCAGTTCCTGTGCTGATGGGCATTCAAATTATTTTCTACAATCTCTTTGTCAGAGAGTACTCCATTGAAATACAACACAGTAAGTGATACCCCTGAAGTTATTGTTTCAGACTCCCTCTGTGTACAGCACTGATCCAGACTAGAACTGCCTCTTCAAAAGTGGCTGTTCTTTAATACTTACTAAGAAGGAAATCACTAGCAAATTAGAGTGCACTTAGCAGATAAGAAAGACATCAGAATCGCATTTGTATGGAATTACTCACATTCATTTGAGTTTTCACACAGCAAAGGTTTGTTCTGACCCCCAAGTTTCCAGCCCGTGTCCATCATTCCATTAGTGCCCAGTCTAAGCCTTCTGAGGAAGAACTTTATGTGGGTTAGTGCAGCCAGATGGGGAAGGCGAGTGGTGGCATATATTGAAGTGACAAATAATGGAGCTTGACTGTCGTAGCTGCTTGAAGAAATTGCTTTCACACACTGAGCATTGTGTGAAACTTGCAAAAACAACTCCCATTCCCTGTGCTTGTGCAAGGCACATATTTTTCATGCAGTTAGAAAATTACCCAAATGCTAACACTAGCTGGCACGCAATTCATGTATGACCTTGGCCTAATCCCTTAATCACTGCGTGTCTCTTTCTCCTCCTTTTCAAAATAAGGAGATAGTAATGCTGGAGTCAGAAATGTCTTAGCACTTATGGAATTGTGAGTTGCTGAAGCGTGTTACTATATTAAGTCTTAAACAATGCCATATATTTATGACTACACTTGAGCAGGCCACACATGTGACTGACAATGCCTTTGGAAATTAGGCCACATAGGGTCAACATAGATTGATCTTTGTAGAGTGTTATATTGAGCAATTACCATCATTTTTGCTAAGTATTTACCTGAAAATTAAAACCTGGCTTTAAAAGAGAAAATGTCAGCACAATTACTAGGATAATGTCAGGGACACATGAACAACAGTAAAATATGCCACGAGGGTAGCAAGGATCAGGGATTGGGTTGCAGACACAGAGAGATTCTGATACATTTGTAAAGGACACCCCACTTGAGACAGCTTCTCAACATTGCAGATGTTCTCAAAAGGATTTCAATTCTCTTTGAAAAGAAGCCACTTTTGGCTAGGATTCTGCAAAATCTTCTCACAATGGGAAAAAACCTAAGTGTTTTTTCACTTATAGCTCCAGGAATAATAACATTTATTACTGCTTTTATATTATATGCAGGCTGGTGTTTTCTATATGGTTTTAGCTGATAGCAGAAGGAATGTCATGGGCACTCTTAACATCACTGTGTGATAGTAAGGATTGAAAGCTTCAGACTGGAATGATTGAGCTCTTGTTACAGAAGATACAAAACTGACCTGTAATCAATCTGAAATACACCTACAATTCAAAGAAAACAAGAACACTCAGATTCCTTATTTTTTTTTATTGATACAGCAATTAGAAACCAGGATAACTGATGTTTTTGTTAGCTTTCTGCTTACTTCGCTGTACATGCCAAGTTGATGTTTCCAAAAATATCACTCCTCTGTAGTAAATAGATCAGAAGATAATATAAACAGACCCTGAACACCTCCATCAATTTAAGGGAGTAGTTTATGTTGAAGACCAGGGCTGTGCCCAGTGAAATAAAACTGTTAGGTTATTTATGGATTATTTATTCTTTCACTTTAACACTCTTTTCTCTGCCACCCACACAATAACATAGTTGAAAACAGTGAAAGCACCTACTCCTCCAAATCCAAAAGATTAATAATTCCATACATTTTGTTTTTTGAATTAATATTATACTTCTAAAGAAAAAGCTACTAAATGTTTACTACACATTTCAAAGCAATGAGGTCATATATTACAGAAGCTTTCTTACTATGTCAAGTAAGAGTTAGCCTTATAGAATGTCGCTATTTAAGTATATTGATAAGATTTTCCTATGGATTTTTTTTAATGAATAAAATACAGTTGTGAAAAGCTTTTCGGATTTAAATCCTCCTACATTAGCCCAAGTCTTTTCTTAGCCACTGCGCTGTTGCACAAGCCCGGGGAGCACAAACACAGCGTCACGTCTGACAGGGCAGCAGTGCGTGCCAGCCCTGGCGCTCCGCAGTACCGCGCCGCTGCCCGGCCAGGTGCGCGGAGCAGGCGGCTCTGCATGTCCCGCAGCGGAGCGGTGCGAGGTTCCCTGGCGCTCCGCAGTGCCGTGCTGCTGCCCGGCCAGGTGCGCGGAGCAGGCGGCTCTGCATGTCCCGCAGCGGAGCGGTGCGAGGTTCCGCTGGCAGCCAGCCCTCCCCACCGCGCCCCCGTGGGTGAGCGCGCCCGGGGCTGACGCCATCAGCGTGCGAGGGACACGCCGCTGTTTACTGAGGTACGCGCTGAGTCATTGCTCGGCTCCTCCTCGGCTGAGCCTCCCCTTCCTGGAAGCTGCTTCCTCCGTCAGCTGCCCTCTGAGCTGACCACGGTTCAAAAATCTGCAAATACTCTGAAATAATCTTTTCTTCTTCCTGAAATCGTTGCTCAAAATCATAAGCATTAAAGTGGTTTTTCCTAAGTAAACTCACTTATGTGGAGTTTGTTTGTTTGTGTTGTGTTTATTTCAAATTTGCTTTCTTGCTGTTCCAGGTGGAAGAGTGAGAAGTAAACTTTGTATCAGTTAGCTAGTTTCTACCACAGTTTAGCCTCAGTTATATCACTACTTTGGACAGAAAATAGAATGTACTTTGTACCTCCAGCTGCCAAGAGGAAAGTGAGACAGAACTTAGGCAAGAGTTCTCTATTTCAGGCTGCTAGCTCTACCCTGTCCACTAGTACCATGGGCAACAGCAATAAATCTTTATCCAAGGCAAGTGCAAGGAAAGATCAGTGACTCAGATCACAGGACTTCTTACTGTTTTAATGCCACAGACTATGTTATGACTTTCTGAATCAGAAGGTTAATTAAGATTTGGTATTTGTTCCTCATAGTTCTACTATGTTGTTACAGGAGTAAAGCACATGTAATCCTATCAAGCATTTGATGTGTCTCCCAAAACTTCCGTGAAGTATTATGAATTAGTTCAAATGATCTTTGTTGATGAGAAGGCTTACAATAAGAAGAAAGTGTCTTTATCACAAAATTCTTCTTCTATATTCTGGGATTAAAAGAATCCATCTTTGAGTGTTATTGAAAAGATTGTAAGTTTTACATATTTAAAAGCTTACGAACGCCTTTTACTATTTTTATAAAGAAATTATGCCCTATTCAAAGGTATTCACCATTGAATATCTTGACATGCAAAAAGAAGAAACAGTCTCAAGCTTCTAAAATCTGAATTTCTAGATTAGTTGCTGACTGAAAAGAGCTACCTCATTCACTCCAACCAGGAAAAATAATGAGAATAGAGGGGTAGAGCATGGCAAAATTCAATAATAACACTGTCCTGGGGCACATGAGTCAGACAAGAAGAAAAATTTATCATTTACTACTGTAAACAGGAAAGCTTCCTTGCCCCAGTGATGACATTTAGGGAAAATGGGAAAGTAGTATACTTCACTGATGGTTGGATCAGAAATTTAGCACTCTGCAATCTCAACTGAGCTTGGACTGTTGGGTTTGTATGAAAGGTGCCATTCAAATAAGTTAAAACTAAACTTTGTTTAGAATTGTTCTAGCAATGTAAAACCAGATTTCTGCAGATCCTCAAGTCTATATTTCTGCAAGGAAAAAAATGCACATTTCTTAAGGAATATATTACAGGCAATAAACTGTGTACCAAGTTTTCTCTTCATTAATTTTTGTTTATAAATGAAGATCACATTGTGCATGTACTGGGATTTGCCCTCTTCTGTAACCTTTGAACTTACTCTCAGGTTACAAACTGTATTAAATAGAACTGGTTGAAAATGGGGAACTGAGAGATGAGCAAAGAGAGATGAAGGATTTTTCATATCAACAGGGCTGATTTTCATTCTCTGCCCATTGCTAGTAAATACAGTAAATTATGCTGTGGGGATTCCTCCTATATTTTTAGTTTTTGTTTCCCTTTTGTTGATTTTTTTTTTTTTAACTTCCTTAACAGAAATATTTTTTAAAAGACCAGAAATAACTCCTAAAGATCAAAGCCCTGGAATTCATTCTGTGATATTGAATGTGAGGAAAAGGATGAGAAACCCAACAAGGACATTAAAAAAATTGACACATTCCTGTTTAGGAAAGATCTTAGAAGAAGGCTTTATACTAGGCTGAACTGGATTAAACAGCACTTCTGGTGGGAGAAAAGATGTGGATAAATAGTTATGAAGGTTCCAAACACTATCTTTACTCACTACATTTCAAACTGTGACCCAGGCCAATTAAGGAGATCTTTTTGATCTGACAGTAGATAGCTTTGTGGTAGAGTTTCATTTTTGTAGGAGAATAAGTAGACATGGAAGAAAATTGGTATAATTATCAGATCATTTTCCTAAGAGCTTTCAGTTATCTAACAGAAACATAAAGAAACCTACAAAGTTGCTTTGTTTTTTAAGGCATGGTTATTGGTGTGGTTTTTAAAGTTTCATCACCTGTGTTTTAGGTCCTTAGGAGTTCAGAGATCCACCTGATAAGTAAGTAAGTAGAACACGATAAACAATTCATATTCATTTTTCTTTTTATACCCACATTTTAGCCTTTTGGACCCATTGACTTATGCTGGTAAAATTGAATATCCATTAACAGGTAGCAGATTACTTCCACTAGTGCATAGGATTTTATATTTCAGTTTCTGTGCCCCTAGTACCAATACCTCAAAAAAACTAAGTCAGCTGTAAAGTCGCTCCAATCCAATTCCAGCCCAAGTTGCTGAAGCCAAGCTTTTAATATCAGTGCTCTCATTACAATGATTCTTGGTTATATACAGTAAGACACAAGCATTATTTTCTTATGCAAGCATACTGCATGTGCTTTTCCTACCAGTTCTGTGTTACAAGGTTATCTTTTTGTACTGTAAACATTAAAAACACTAACTCTTTGGGGCTTTGCTGTCTGTAAAATTTCTGTGTAAACACTGGTCTTAGTAACTTGATTAAATATTGTGTGTCAGTCTGCATCAAAGCAA